TTCTGGCTGAGGATCAGGTGACGTGCACTTGCGCTGAAGCTCCTTGTCGATCCACTATGCATATGTGCGATGCGAGCCCAAACACAGCTTCTCCTGAAAAGCTCCTGAGCAAACACGCATACAAGTTTTATTTGGGCCTCCTTGCTCTCTCTTCATTTGCGTGCGTAGCCGCTTGTCAAGTTTGCCGTCCCGTCCTGTCCTTCTCTTATAGTCCAACTGGTGAGCGGAGACTCATCACCCTCCCTGGAATCTTCCTGGCTAGTTCTTCATTGGCTGCACAAGATCACCACTCCTAACTCCCCCCTAACTCTCCTCCCTTCATCTTCCATTATTTTTTCCCCCTGCTTGTGTGCATGAGGTGGATTCCTCGCTATTTGTGCAGCATGTCTTCTTGCCTTTCTTTGGAGAGTACCTCCACTTCTTCTGTCCCTCTCCACAAAAGTTTCAGCCAGTGACACAAAGTGTGTAAAGCCTTAAGCAGCCGGGGCAGCCCCAAATAAGGTATCCACACACAACCCCTGAAGCCCATCTATTTATGATACTAGCATCAATTGTACCAAGATCTGCTACTCAACTCAACTTGAAATGCTCACTATTTAAGTGTTGATGATCAACTCACAATTTAGTGATGCAACTCAATTTTTTCAAAAACAAGCAAAAGTTGAGTGAAGACAATGTGTTTAGATGTGCTGTGGAAATCATTTTGTCGGTTTGAAAGCTCATGACGTTTTTATTTGTAATGATGTAATGAGTCAGTCCTCACAGTCATTATTCCAACAATGAGAGTCTATGAAGAACAAAGTTACTCAAGTCTCACTGCTGTTACCAATAAAGTGTTCTTTCCAAAGAAGGCTGTACATCACACAATAAATCCTTTAGAAATGATGAGTCGCATATTTCTGAATAGAAAGAATGAAAGAATGAGTCACATATTTCTGAATAGAAATATTTGCTGGGGGGAATACTGTATATCTATCTATCGATCAATCGATTGATCGATCAATTGATCAATAGATATAGATATAGATAGATACCGTGTGTGTGTGTGTGTGTGTGTGTGTGTGTGTGTGTGTGTGTATACATCTTTTAAGTAGCATATACATCTCCAAAAATGTATCTGGATCCAGATGATTTTATTTTTTGCAACCACAAAATAAAATTGAGCGCGGGCGCGCACGCACGCACACACACACACACACACACACACACACACACACACACACCTGCTAAGGGATCAACACATATCCGTAAGATCTATTTTGATTTCTACTAGTTATTTACTAAAATGTTTAAGTTCTTGAAAATCCTGTGAGAAATTGTGCATTGGGATTTTTTTACTCATAGTCATGTAAAAAGTTAATTCCAGCCACAAAGCTCGCCACAAACATGTTCCATTGAGCCACATAGACCTTATGATAGGCAGTTAAATTATCATTCTTTTTTCTCCTGTTTTTTAGATAGGAAGTCTATTTTATTTCTCTATGGAGCATGGACGGCATGTTGAAGTGGGTGTTTTTTCAGTCAGCACAAAGAGTTACTGAAAGCGTCAACTTTTTTTTTTTTTTTTTTTTACCAGAGCTTGTTCTGCTGTCCTTTAGCTATTGTTCTGCATTTTTCAGAAATGTTCCCTCATCTGTCACAGGTCAAGTTATTCTTGTCCCTTCTGAGCCTCTGGGACATCCCACAGATGAGACATGACAAATGGTAGCATCTCCCGAAGTGTCAGTCTCAAATGGAGTCAAATAACTAGACCTAAGCACATCTTTCACTCTTTAGTCTGTTGGCGTAAAACGATGTGATCCGCACTCGAACAGATCAAGTTGCTGCACAGGCCCCAAATTGCTGCTTTCTTCCAAGTGGTATAATCATGTGTCCTTGAGCCAAGCACAAACATCGACTTCACAGACTAATAACTTTCTCTCAATGAATACAGTCGGTTCTTTGCCCTTGCTGACTAACCCCCATCCCGTTGATTCCAATAGCAGACTGGGATTCTTTTATATGGAAAAGTCTGAGTTTTAGTGCTGGTAGCAGCCCTGGACAAAGTGCCAACAGTCTAATATTAGCGGAGCACATGGCCGCACACAGAATCACTCACCGAGCAGGCTAAACTTAGTGCTGTGTTTCCCAAGCCTCTCGTCGTCAACGTCTTCTTCTCTCACACTGACCTCTGCTGGGTGGATTCATGGCTGGTGGGGGTAGGGGAGGGTTGAACTTCAGAAACCGGAGTCCAAGGGATGGGGGCCAAATATGGCTGGTACTAGAACAAGCGTCACGTTAAAAGTTCATTAATAAAGGGTGCCCGTGTGTGCGCACGTGCACGCGCATGTGCACGTGTGTGTGTGCGTGTGTGTGCGTGTGTGTGTGTGTGTGTGTGTGTGTGTGTGTGTGTGTGTGTGTAAATGTTTGTGTCAGGCTACTCCCTTGTGTTCAAAAGTGATATTGCATATACTTTCTCCACTCAATCGCAAATGTGAATATTTTGAGTTGGTTATCATGAGCAAATTAAATAATTATTTGAGCATATCCAAACCTGCTAAAAGGTATCAAGGTCCTCATGCATGACCTGCTGCCAGTGCAGTCCTCATTTGCTTTTCAGAAATGAGCTTGCAGCAAAGTTGTGTTCAGTCACTTATTTGTTTTGTTTTGTTTTGTTTTTTTGTCTCAAATGTGATGCAAAAGTTTATAAGGGAGGTCAACTAATTTGTTCATACTTTTTAAAGAAGTTATTGTTCCAAGTTATCAAAACAGGTATTTTATATGATGAACAGTAAAAACATAGTAATTATTTTTGTACTTAAATAGGGACACAGGGGCTTGTCACACGGTTAAGTTGTCACGTTGCGATTTTCATCCCCACCAGAGAGGGCAACTAAAAAGCGAAATACTGTACTAATGTTCTTCCTTTTTATGGTCAGAAGTCATGTCGGTTCTGAAAAGACAATAGCACATTGTGAGTTGAGACGAGAGACAATGAACCATTTTCATGACCCAAAGTAAAATAAATAAATAAAATACTATATTCTGAAGCAATAAAAATCCTAGCAGTGTTACACGTGGACTTGTTAGCGGAAAGAATGAAGCATTTTTTTCATAGCTCAGTCATTGTTCTCTTTTATTCGAACTTTCAACTAGAATTAGTCTTAGCAAACGTTTTGGGCCAACACGTCTCAGTGATATTGAGGTTAGTTGTCACATGACATCCAAAGATTGGGCCAATGAAAAATACAATCCTGGCAAATCAGTTTACGTACGAACGCCTTGAATGCTGATTCTGATTAGTGATGAAGTTTCTTTTGAGAGTTTACGATTGGATCTTCCAGTTGGTGTTGGAACTATGTCCACATTCCAGGACTGGTTCAAGTTTGAAGATGAACTGATGCTTTCAGTTTTGGAACTCACTTTCATCTTGAATTGTTAGTTTGAGGAAGGCATTTGAGGCTGAGAGCCACGGCCAATGTGCCATCAGGTCCGAAGGACTTCAATCCCGTGCATGTGGCGAATTATTTTTTCTGTTAAAAGTTACATTGTTGGCAATAATGTTGCCTTTTTTTTTTTTTAATGAGTTGCAAAATGCAGCATGATATCTTACACCATACATTAAGACAACTTGTGCAAGATGCCTTATGTTCACACTGTGATTTGATTGCTTGTAACTCTGCAATGACATGAATGCAAAATGCGTACCTGAGACTTTGATCTTTCATTTGCTACACATTTGGTTTATATATGATGTATTGATTCCGAGAAATATCTCAAAGGGTAAAAAGTGTGACATCAAGTCTCGCTCTCCCTACATTCCAGAGGCTGTACACTTTCATCTTTTACATACAGAAAACCAATTGATACTTTTACTTTTACTATGGTAGTCTTTTTTATCCACCTATGTGTACTTGTATTTAAGTACAAGGTATGAGTACTTTTGCTACCTCTGCTGATAATATGCTACGTAAGTCTAAACATTTATTCAAGCACAGCAGCTTAGCATGAGTCACTGACAAGTGGAGCATTTCAATGTTTGATCTCAGGGAGGCAGACTTGATCTCCAATTGAGCGGAAGTGTTGCACAACCGCAGGAGCGCAGCAGCAAGGTTGCCAGATAACGCAGCGGGGGTTAATCTGTTGACAAGCACCCTTTGACAGCATGTGAGCGAGGCCCTGATGCTTTCAATCAACTTGTTCATGTGACGTTCCTGTCCACATTCACACAGCAGCTCCGAAGCAGAAATGGGCCACAAAATTGACGGAACCACAATTGAAAAAAAATGGATCAATCTTGAGGTGGTTTCCTGACAGAATTACAAGTCACCATATTCACTATGTGTGCTAAACTGCTGGTGGCAGCCTTGGACGACACAGAAAACAGCAGTTTTCAACGCAAGATACAAGACTGCTGAGGGTGTGACAGCAAGTGTCTATTTTTAAACCTGCTAAACCAACTTCAGCAATGTTGAAGGCCAAATGAAAAGAGGAACTTTGGTGCCTTGAGATAAGGATTTCACTCATCCCGTGACCACGCTTGTAACTCAAAACACGAGTTTCTCAAATCATCCTTCCTAGTTGAAATTCAAGGGAAATGCCATTTATCGTGCTTCAAGCCCCAGCGCTTCACTTTTTTCACAATGTTACAGCCTCATTCCCAAAACAGAATAAATTCCTTTTTTTTTTCTTTTTTGTTTAATGAAGTCTTGGCCTATAACTTAAAAGGAAAGGCAGATGCCCTCCCTGACTCTATCCAGCTTGTTTGTGGGTGTGCGCGTGCGTGTGCCACAGCATATCCGTGGGTTCCCATGCGTGTCATCTGTGTCAAGGGAACAATTACCACCCCGGTCCCCCGGCTTAGCGCAACACCAGGGTTGGATTTGTTTGTCCCAGCAAATGGATTTGCATATGGGAAAACAGAAGAAAGACACGAGTGCCTCCCAAGACAATTTGCAGAGCTGGGAAGTGCCTGCGATTCAGTCACAGAGTTGAATTGGCTTGTGAGAGGTTCGCTCCGATGACACAACAGACGGGCCGAGGTGGCTGTGGAGGGACTGAGAGAGCTGTGGAGACAAGTGAGAAAAATGAGCAAGAGCGAAAAAGATGGGATCATTGAGGGTGGGGTCACCAGACTAGCTCAGCAGACGGTGAGGGGAACAAGGGTTGCCGCTGTGCGTTTGGCTTGCTTAATCGCTAAATCTTCTCTAATCGGGATGAGAGGGAGAGAGCATGCTGCCTGATTTAAGACTGCACAGTCTGTGTCGGGACCTGCAAGGAGGACAGACACCCTAGGTGCCCATTATAAGAGACGGAGGGAGGGGGCAGACAAGAGCAACATACTCTTTGGGGAACTTCAGACTAAGCAGTTTTTTCAAAGGGAGGGAAGCAACAAAATGCTTTCAGCCATCAAAAAGAAGGGGACTCTCAATGGATGGATTCTTTCAGGGTGAGAATTTTTGCTTGCACCTAAAAGATGCTTTATTTGATGTCAGGGAAGATAATTTAGATTTGTGCATTGGAGTCAAAAAGGCAAGGCTTATGTTTGTAAGTTTAAGGAAGCTTGAGCAATGGAGAGGTGAGGCAGAAGGTACCGTTTGTGGCAGGAAGTTGGAGCCACAACGCAAGTTCAATTTCAAGAAAAAATATATCCAAATGTAAAGTTTTGCTTGAATGACAGAAAAGTTGTCATTACTGCACTCGAATAACTCATTCTGCATAGACCATCTGTTATTCTGATGAAGACTTGTTCAATTATCATATTAGTGAACTAGTGTTACATCAAATGTCAAAACAGCTAGATGCCCATTAAAAGACGCACGTAAAAGAGTTTTACTAGTTTTTGCTTCCTCTCTTTGAAAAAGATGATTTCAGTCAGGTCCAAATACAGAGGAAGTAAACTGTCTTTTTTTTTTTAGATAAATTACATTTTCACCCGCTTCATACATATTCAACAAGTACACGTTATATGTTTCACTCAAAGTAAGTCATCTCCATTATCAGCTCCTCCACCCAAACCACATGTCCTTGAAGGACAACCACTGACTGAAGCTTGTCCGAGGGCTGCAGGTAAAGGTTTAAGGCCTCATGAAATATCAGAGCCCATCAGCATGTGATCTATCGCCCTGACTCACCCCTTACTGTCATAAGGCTGCCAGGAGGCGTCACCAGCAGACCTGCCACATGTCACTGAGCAGCATGGCCCAGGGCTGGACAATCTAACTCACAATTCCCCACTTTGAAATGAGAGGAGACTCAAATCCTGAAAAACAACCTTCAAAAATGTTGTTTGTTAAACGGGCCATGTCACCTAATCAGTGCCAAGGGTAAATGCACAATAAGATGAACTTCAAAAATGAAATCTGATTGCATGAAAAAATTAATTTGCCTGAGATGGGCTAATTTATATTTTGAGAAGTTCATTATTATCAGATTCAGTGTTGAAGAAAGACAATAGTTTATTTTGAGAGCATAACAACAAGGAATTGGAACTACTTTGGTCGAATGGCCCAAATACATCAACGGTGATTTCTCCCACCAGATCCTCGGTCCACTTTTACAGTTGATGGTCTAAGTCAAAATTTCTGCGGATATCCACTCGTGCTCCTCTCACTTCAAGTCCGAAATCTTGCCATGCTGATAGACTCAGACCTGCCTTTTAGCAATCCTATCAAATCACTCACTAAAACAGCCTTTTAGCAGCTGAAAAAAGCATCCGGACTGAAGGGTTGAAAGCTCCAAACAGACCAGGAGAAATGTATCCATTCTTTTATCTCCAGTAGACTTGATTATTGTAACGCTCGTCTCCCTCAAAAGAGCATCAAACAGTTGCAGCTCATCCAGAATGCTGTAGCTCGGGTTCTAACCACAACAAAGAGATCAGGACATATTACTTCCGTGCTAAAGGCTTTACGCTGTCTCCCGGTAGTAGAATAGATTTGGAAATTCTGCTACTGGACTTTACATCATTGAATGGTTGGATCCTGAACATGTTAAAGAAATGCTGATTGAATATAAACCCAATAGGGCTCTGAGATCTGCAGATTCGGGTTAATTAGAGGATCCGAGAGTTCAAAGTGAACATGTTGAAGTGGCAATTACCTGTTAGGCTACACACAAATGGAAGAAGATGTCAACAGAAGTGAAGTCAGCCATGCCCGAGTGTCAATGCTTTTTAAATCCAGGTTCAAAACTTTTTTCCACATACCTTTGATTAAGTCCTCTCAACATTTTTAAATCGTATTCTTTTAGTTATTTTAGAAACCTACCGCACTCTTATTTCTTTACTTGCAAATGCTTTTAAAAGTTTCAGTTAGTATGTTTAAATGTTGTCAGTGTACTTTCTTTTAGTCATTTTTTAAGCTATTTTGTATTCTCTGCTTAGCTTCCAAGTGTCTTTAACTGTTGTGTTTGTAAATGCTTGTAGGTGTTGCGTCTTTTCTTGTGTGAAGCACATATTGAGTTATCTCGTGTATGAAAGGTGCTGGACAAACAAAGCTGCCTTGAATTGCCTTTTGCCTGACAACGGTCTGGGCGAGTTTAACAACGCTGGCAAAAGGCGCGCTGTCCAGGCAGCTTATGCATCGGGTCAATTGAACTTACAGATAAGTGGGGCTGAAGTGAGGTGAAGCGCCTCATCCTCTTTAGGCCTCGGACAAGCCCTCTCAGTTCACCTGGAACAAGTTCGTTCACCACGAAGATGCTCCACTCAATAGTTATCACTGAAGCCAAACTGGAGTTTATTTCAAGTTGATGAAATACACTGCTACGGTGAAAACGGTGCTCCTTTGGAATATGTGCACCTTTGGAAAAGGAGATGTCTCTTTGGCTGCTTTTCAAGGAAGGCGCCTGTCGCGCTTTGTCCAAAAGCCGGACAGGGAACTTATATTTGTGTCCTTCTCAACATCTTTCCTTTCCAGATGAGAATGGCACGCAGAAGACAAGACGCTGAGCTGTGATCCCGGCAGAGGGGTCTGGGAGGCAGGGGGCTCATGGCCTCGACACGTGACGACCCCCACTTGGGCACTGGGCCATGTGAGGATTCTGAGATGAACCTGGATGATTCAGACTTTGCAAGTGTCCTCTCTGACGACTCAGTGCTTCCTAACTTTGAAAGAGACAACACATATGCAGAGTCTCCTAAAACACTCTATGAGGCATGTCTTCGCAATGATCCCTTCTCCCTGCGAAGGATTCTGGAGAGAGGCGTGACCAAGGAAGAGGCCATGGAGTTGGACATTAACGGCAAGGTGAGAAACATTGCAATGCACTCCAATGCAATAGCTGTTATTACAAACATAATAGCGCTCAACATAATCAATACCATGTAAGTCACTCAGTATTTCAAACAGCTTTTATATTGGACCTCATTGTGTCCCAAAGGAAGAAGTGTGTGGTAATGTACAAACTCTTTGACACCACTCAGTAGATTTATTGTACATTTATACATTTCCTGGTGAACCAAATGGCACATTTTTGGCGGATTGGGCCATATATTGGCCCATTTTGATTATTATTTTTTTTATGCCATGGAATTATTTTAAATGAAATGTTATTGTCTTTTATGTTTCATTAGACTTATGTCAATGTGAAAAAACACCTAAATAAAAATCATATACTTTACACAATATAAATAATGTCCACGAAAAGCGTGAGTCCATTTTTTTGGGGGTCACCCTGTTTATACGTACAGTAGCTTGTCTACATATTTGCCCATCAGAGTGGACTAATGGTGGCTGTGAGCAAAGGGTTTGTGGACATCGTCACCACGCTGCATGTATGCCCACTAATAGACATAAACCACCAAGACAATGATGGCAACTCTGCCCTCATGATTGCAGCCCAGGCCGGTATGTTGCACCACAATTGAGACACCACACACGCACGGATGATGTCTCCATTCATTTCCATGTTGTCTTCATGTCTCCTGCAGGCTTCACCACTATTCTCAACTACATCCTCAACTACTACTCTGGTGTGGACACTGAGGTCAGGGATCCTCGTGGCTTTACCGCCCTCATCAAGGCAGGCATGCAGGGCAGAGAGGACTGTGTGTCGGCCCTGCTCATGCACGGTAAGTTCAAACATGGCCATTGCCTTACGTGCATGCATCAGGGGACAATTAAAGCTTCTGCATCTGCCTAAGACAACACCGAATAGTACCTGAATTGCAGATTTCTGTCATGAGAAGCCTCTTATACATAAATGGCAAGTGAGGTCATTTTGCTTGGCAAATATGACCTTGCAGATATCTGAAATGACAACTTTTTATAGGAAGAATGTAGTTCAATCTGGGCAGGACTGAAGTACCAATATCTACAACACATTTCCAGTTCCGCTGTTAGACCAGTGATGGGCAATTAATTCTGCAAAGGTACGATATAACAACCCGAAAAACTTGCCAAGGTGGTAACCCCAACCTTATCTGCATTATTTTGTGTGTAGTTAGAATAAGTGTGGTGAAACCAAATTATAAGCGGCCATCAAAATTACATCTTGACACTCCACACCAAATTATGAATCAATTTGTGCACCAAACACAAACTCACATCACAACTGCCAAATATATAGATAAGTGGGATGTATATTATTGAGAGTGATGTATAATGATACGGTGATGACTTATAATAGACCCAATTTTTATCGTGTATGAAACTGTAGATTTGCACACGATATCATCAGGCCAAATTATCTTGGTCCTCTTCCATCTACTGTGCAGGAAATTAAAATGTTGCTGGCATTAGGACCACTGCTATCATTTTTTCTCATCTCTTTCATGGCAAAACAGTCACTCGTGGGGTGTGAAAAGTTGCTAAATATTACAAAAACACTGCAGACACAAGGACTTGCTTAACGTCCACAAGCATGCACATAGATTAAAAAGCACAACTTTCAAAATTAAAGCACCGCATTATTTCTGCTTTGACTTCATGATCACTGTGAGGGCCAGTAAGACACTAGATGTGGCACCCTGGCCCATACTTTGCCCAGGATGGTGTTCAATGAAAAAAGGTCTTCCTGTATAGTCTAAATCAGCGGTTCTTAACCTGGGTTCGATCGAACCCTGGGGGTTCCGTGAATCGGTCTCAGGAGTTCGACGGAGCCTCTGCCATGGAGGTTAAGACATACCAGACTCAACATGTCAATTAGTTATGACACGCCTGTTGATGATCACATTACATTGCTTGTCCAATCTGTGCTGCGGGAAATTTAGTTCGCTCAGCAGCCAACGTGTGACTGTTGTAATAGTACATGGTAAAATTTTTAAAAATTATACTTATGTCTTGAAATTTTATATACTTTTCTCTGTTTATAATAAATGCGTTTTTTATGTCTTGAAGTTGTAAAAAGTCATATTTTTGTTTTTTAACTAATGAAGAGTTCGGTGAATGTGCATATGAACTGGTTGGGTTCTGTACCTCTAACAAGATTAAGAACCACTGGTCTAAATGCTCATCCATTGAATGGGTGAGTTCCAAAAGTGGCCACATGGTAGTGTTATTGGACTGTATGTAAAGCCATCCATTCATTTTTCTCTACTGTTAATTTTTAACTGGGTCGCTGGTGTGCTCAAGCCTATCCCAGCTGACTTTGGGCGAGAATCAGCAATTGATCACGCCATATGTCTTGACATTAGTAAACATGTGAGCGCTAATATTTGACTTTTTTTGTCATGCACAGGTGCCGAAATGAATGCAATGGACCATGTTCAAGCTCGTGGTTTGAAGGATTGGGTCTTGAAGACGGGAAGATTTGAGACGATGAACAGAATCCGCTATCTGCAGGCTCATCCTGTGGCTGAGCAGTTTTGTGAGCACTACGCACCTGAGTGGCCGCAGCTCAAACAGCTGGTGGCAAAGGCCATTGCCACCAAGACCACAAGCCAGAGACTGCGGCAGCGCTTAAAGGACAGCTTCACCTTCAGCTTCCCTCAGGACCCCCAAGCCAACGGGGTCATGGACCACATGGTGCGCATGACCACAAGCATCCACAGCCCCCTCATAGCCACGGCTTGCCATCCACTGTGTCCCAGCAGCCCCCCAGAAATCGGGAAGCGGCGCTTTGCCGTTCCCGAACTACTTGAGAAGCACAGCAGCAAGGAGCTGGAGGAATGCACTGTGTCTCATAGCAACGGCTCTCTCACTGCCTCTTTTCCCAGCACTGCATCAGTCGCCTCGGTATATCTGACCTCCTGCTGCCAGGAGGCAGAGCACAAGGACAGCGCGCCAGTCGGGAGCATGAGAGGCTTCATTCCCCGCAGCATGGCGCACAGGAACAGCATCTTCCCCACGGGCTGTGTCCCCAAAATTGAAGTGACCAAATCTGGCGAACCCACCCCAAAGAAAGAGAAGAAGAAGAAAAGGCAGAAGGGCTACCTGGAGCCTCCTGTGTGGAGGTACAAGGAGGCCAAGGAGGAGAAAAAGAGGGAAAAGAACAAGGAAATGCAAAGAGAGCAAGAAAGAATATCCAAGGTGTCCAAAAACGAAAACAAAACATGACTCAAATTGGAAGTTTCCACAGATGATTGTTGATTCCTTTGAAGACTATTTGGACAAAATTTGTATCAGCTGCCGGAGTAAATATATGCAATATTGATTGGATTCACAAAACATGCCCAGTCTTCCATTCAATTAGGTTTTAGCTATTTTTTATTCATTAATTAAAACATAAATTAGTATTCTAGCTGGGTGATCAGAGTGTTACCTGCCACTGCGCTGGCATTTGTTTACCCTGTCCCTGTATACTGAAAATAAATACGCCTTCTAAATTTGAAACACTACAGAAAGGATTGTTGTTAACAATTCTGCTCAATATGAATAATTAACAAAATTGCCAAGTCCATAAAGTAAAATGAGGCTTCAAAAACATGAAAAATGCCTTTGTCACCACTGTCAAATACTGTGGGCATCTCTGATGAAAGCCTCCGCTTGCTGGAATGAAGCCCACCAGGTCACGGCGGCGCTTTGCCCGCCATGATGAGCGTTGCCAGACACCAGCTAGCTTATAAGCTAACAGGCTTCCAGGCTCCTCTTGGTTGCCTGAGGGGCGGCTGGCTCATCGCCCAACTATGTCATTGAGCTTCAAGTTTTACTACAATGGGGGAGGGTGAATCATGTTGGATATCCAAGCATGGATTTGGAAGCCACGTTAGCCATCGTTTTCAGTCTTTCACATCAGCAGTAATTATCTACAAACAGGTATGATGTGCTTAGAAAGGGTTCCTCAGCATTTTTAACAAAATCACCACATTGACACCTAACAATGTGGCCGTGTTTGAGCATTTTTAATCTCAAATGATAATGGAAGCCATATTGAACATATAGTATGCTGGATATTTTGGTTAAAGAAAAAGACAAGAGCGACTGTAGCTTTCGCTCTGTGTGCAACCTGTACTGGAGCATCTACCAGATGCCTTTTATGTCCTCATGAGAGGACTTTTATCACATTTCTTAAACACCTCAGGAATATCTCTCTCTCCCTCTATTAGTTCTCACAGAATTTTACCAAGACGTTTTGGACAGTTCTATCTTACCATTAAACAGTTTGGGGAAAGGCCATTTTCCCTTCCCAGAAAACAAAGTAAGGTTTACAATAGGCATGCTCATATGAGCGTGGTGTGGGAGAAAAATCAAGGCACAAATATTCTTGATAATGAGTGTCAAACAATCCCAACATGCTACGTGTTGCGCTTATTAAACACAGACGCACGTCAGTCGTTCCAAACGTCACTGAGATTGTTTCTCTTGCGAGATCGCAAGAGTGTATTGATTGTGGTGACACAGCCCATCATGTATGGCCCATGCGTTGGGATCATTACATTGAGTGGCTACTTATGTATTCTTCTCAATGTGCAACAAAAGCTAAAAACCAAAGACATTGGTGTTGTTGATGTGGTCATTTTTGGATTGTTGCATCACATTAGATTATTATTAGTATAATGTGTCATTTCCTCTTCACCAAAGGGAACTTGCTGACTTTAGGTCAGCGCTGCATTGAATAAATCCCCAGAGTGCTCTGAAGGAGCACATAAGATCAGTAAGTACGGCGTGACCTGGGCCAAGTAGGACGCAATTAGACCAGTGACATAACTTAATCAATGTGACTTAAAGTGATACAGCTTAAATTATGCTCTCAGATTAAACTGACTATTTTCCTGAGATAAAGTGAAGGCAATTGAATGTCTGTGTAAAATACAACGAGCAACGTGCTCTCATTTACACGGCAACTCAAGTGAGAGCCTCCAGCCGCGTCGACGGCCCAAAGCAGAGAGATGACAGCGCCTGAGCACAACGGTGGCGGCAGTTCCATAACTGAAAACACCCTCTGTTGCTGCCATAAGTTACACAACTGAGGCAATCAAGCACCTTATTTTCTAATTAAAAGACAAAACTGAAGCGTGCAACAACATGAAATCAAATCAGTGCCTTCTTCAGTGACAATCGAACAAGGCTGCATTTAAAGTTCTCCTTGTCCAAAGAGACTTCTTAATCAACACTTTTGTGCTCCATTTGTACCCTGGGACTGAGGTTCTCTCGTGTTGGCACCCTGGGACCCAATTATTGCAAAGTTGCAAGTATATAACTAGCCTGCACTGCATTTGTTTACAAGTGGCTTAAGCATGAGGCTGCTACAAAGGTCCCCTGCTATTTGTGGAGGACAGCGACTGAGCCCTCCCGTGGATAGCTAAGTGATAATTACCGATAATTTTAATTCCATTGTTACTTCAATTTTGGATTGTCTCGAAATTAAAAAGAGAATAATTGATGAAAAACGATGATGTGTGGAACAGAATGGTGTGTGTGTGTTTTTCGGCCACCAAGAAAACACACCAAAAATTTGATGAAAAGTTGCACTCAGTAGCAATGTACTGCATAAAAACACACAGTAACCCGAAAACATGGAAAATGTGAGCACAAATATGTACCTAATCTATTGTCCTTCTTTGTTCGTCTTTTGTGGGGTCGTTTGGCAGCTGGCAAACCAGCTCAAGTGTGTATTACTGCCACCAAGGGATACTACATTGTCCTTTTTCTGAATTGATGGCGGTGGGATGTTGTCAAATTTGCTATCGCCATTTAGTGGTGGGGGTATGAAGTGCACTTATATGTCCATTTTTTTCCTCAAATCGGTTAGCTAAGTGACATGTGATCGTATGTAAAAAAAATAAAATCTGAAGTCAATACAGCAATTTATTTTTTTATTAGATAACAATAAAAAGCTATGATTGTCAGCGACACCAGAGATTAAGTAAAAAAATGTTTTACTTGACTTTCCCTTGATCTGCATCGTAATGCATTCGACCAGTGGTTCTTAACCTTGTTAGAGGTACCGAACCCAACCAGTTCATATGCACATTCAACGAAACCTTCATTATTTTAAAATAAAAATGATTTTTTTTTTTTACAAATTCAAGACATTAAAAAACGCATTTATTAAAAACTGAAAATAACTTAAATAGAATTTCAAGACATAAGTATACGTTTTTTTTAATTGTGCACAAAATGAACCAGCAAGTGATGGCCAAGCAGGCGTGTCATAACTAATTGATATGTTGAGTCGGGTATGTCTTAATCTCCATGGCAAAGGCTCCGTCGAACCCCTGAGACCGATTCACCGAACCCCTGGGGTTCGATCGAACCCTAAGAACCACTGCATTAGACTGTACAGAATGTTCTGTCCACACATGCGCTCGCATGAGTGTGTGTGTTAATTACCCGTATTTATTTTTTCATTTCACTTTGATTGTGTGCAACTTCTTGAAAACTATGACTAATCATCGTAAATGCTCTGAAATGTAAGTGTCAGATTTTCCACCAGAATGCGTCATTAGAACTTTTTTTTTCTCTCTCAAAGGGTAAAATGTGACTGCCACTGTTTGAAATAAATAAAACCAATTGCATGAGCGTTTTTGCCCCACACACTCATTGTATCATCGAGGGGTCTTTGAACCACATTCCTGCCAGTGTGCAGTGCAGATTCGGTCCACGGGGGAAAGGGAAAATGAGAAGTTTAGCAACAGGAAAACCGCTATGAGAACATTCCAGGCAAAGCAGAGTTGAGCTGCGCGGGACAATGAGGGGTGGGACAAAACTGTACTTTGCAGAAAAAAAAATGTAATCTTGCCTTTTGATCACGGTCAAAGACATCAACAAAAGGCCTCCCTTCGTGGGCCAACTTGTTCGAGCAACCCTCACTGGGTGCGAGCAGTCTGGCTCCGGGCTGCTCGTTTGTGTATCGTTGTAGATTTGGAACGAGATCCGAGATGAGATAATCTCACACCGCTGTGGCTGAGTCTTCCATTATTTTCACTTCTGTCTCACTTAAGGACCATTCTCAAAAACAGCAGATTTTGAAGGTCAGCGTCGTCTACAAACGCGAAGCAAGAATGCGAGATGTCTTTGGGATCTAAACTCTTCAATCGAGCTCTTCGCGGAGGAAAGAAAATCGCTCAAGTAATGGACACGTTGGGGTTTTAAACAGTGGGGACACGAAGTACACATGGAAGACGTGCGGTGTTCAAACTCATCACGTTAAGAGGAGCGCTCAGAAAGAGGTAATGGCGTCAAATATGCATTTTGTTGACCTGTTTATTTTTTGACACGAAGTGGTACTGATTACATGTTTTCCCCGAGAACCAACAGGTGTCATCAAATGGTCAATTTGAGATGGAGATTTAAAAGGACTGTTTTGACAAAGTGGCCACGCACTGTTTTACTTACGAGATATCGTAAATTTAAGACATTTCATGCAAAGAAAGAAATTAAAACATGTTATATTCAAATTGAAGTGAAAATCAGAGTGCCTGCCGAGAGACGGCAGTGCAATAGTATAAGTTTGGACTCGCCCCCTCCGTCAGTTAATTTCTTAACTGAATATTTTAACGTGTATTATACATTCGGTTGTAAATAAAACACAGTCTTTATTATAATATTCCGATTTGCTCCAGTATGATATTTTTCTACTGGTATTCTCAATCACATATTAGCGGTTCTTGTTTTGGAATATGATGATCCAAAGTTTTTGAATGGCCAAATGTCTACTGTACTGGCTGGACATGATGTGACTGAAAGTTTATCAAACGTCAAAAATTTACCAATGTATAACAAAATGTTATACACGCATATGCTATAGTAAATATATGATCATAATATACTACTCTGTACTATATTGTATTTACACTCAATAGACACTGTATTTGGTACACTCGTAAGAAGGGAGATGAAAAATCCTGACTTTACAAAGATTACATCCTCAGTTTTGATTGACACATATTGTAACATTTGTTGTTATTATTGCAGTTGGCGCTTGCGATGGCATCAACGTGTACTGCGTTAAGGGGAGATGTTTTCCCCCTCCCATGGAGCTAAGCTTGGAGAACTGAAGTACAATAAATACACTATCAGGCCATCCATTCATCTTATGCACCTCCAGAGTCTTGCGTGTGTCCCATCTTATTTTGGGCGTGTGGTGGGAAACACCCTGTACTGGTCGTGAGCCAATTACAGGCACAAGCAAGCATTCCTTCTCACATTCACACATATTAACAATGTGGAGACTTCAAAGTTAGCATGCCAGTTTGTGGAATTCAGGTGGGATCTCCTGTCGGCTTTACACAGATCTGGTCGGCTGAATTGGATCGGCAGATATTTTGCATTTCATCGTCGTTAATAATCTAAGGTTTCTCATCATATGTATTCAGGCTTTATTTTTTTTCCTAATGTTTTTAAATAATTGGGAGGGTGATTGGGAGTGTCCCCCGCACCCCCCATTGTCTGTGTGATTTTAGGAGGATTTTTTAGGGTTTGACTGTAATTATTCTTACATGACAAATTTCAATATCCATTGATTATATGCAAATTTGGGTGATTTGTGGGCCAGGCTGGTCCCAATCCCCCAATAACTGTTTGGATATATTGGTCCACCATCTGATCGGATTGGTGATCGGTTATCTTTTTTTATTTGACTCTCTGATCGGTGATTGGCCCCAAAATCCTGATCATGTAGAGACTAGAATCTAGATTAGCTAGCGAAAACCCATGAAACTCCACGTGGCAAGGTCACAGCTTGGATTGGAGCCCTGAATGTGTGAGGCACTTATCCACAATAACACACAGAAATGCTATAGTGCTATTCAATTGATAGCCCATTTACAATTTACAGACTATTCCTGTCACCTGTTTATGCCACTCCATGTATGCCTTACCATAAGCAATTCATACCTTGCTAAAATATCATGTACCGTCTCTGGGTCTTATTTGCACATCCTACACCTGGGATCCTGTCGGATAAGGTAGACCCTGGCCGATATTGATCTTGCGTGTTCTTGTGCCGCCATGGTTTGTGCTCCGTGCTGTCTTTCAGTCCAGCCTCAATTTGTCAGTTGGTCTACGCCTCACGAGTCCACGGTGCCACTCTTTACCCTTTGTATACAGCCTCAGGATGCTGGACAAAGGGTGGAACCCTTCGTACATTCTTGTCTTGATATCAGCATGATGCCAGTGGCAGTGGGATGATTACTGGTACAGCGTAGGTGTAGGATTGGGATTAGGCTGACACTATCGAAACATTTTGAAACCGATTATCTAATCGGGAAGCACCATGGATTAGTGGCTAGCATATCCACCTCACAAGACACAGGTTGGGGCATCAACAGCATCAACAACGAACACATTAACACACTGTTCACATGTGAGGAGAATGGTCTAATGGAATAGTGTCTATATATTTATCCATATATTACATTAAAATGGCTTTTATTTTCCTGAGAGGTTTTTCTTTCGTGCAACGAGGCCCTGTTCAAGAACTCATAGAGGCTGCTGTGCTGTTGCATGCCCCTACCATCCGCCACACGAACCACACAGTCATGCAGATGGAATGAAAGATCTGCTTCACTGAGTCTAAGCTGTCGATGGGAGGAAGAGATGACAATGGATCTCTTCCCCTTGGGTCACAGGGGTTTAGCTTTGGACCGAAAGGAGACAAACAGGAGAGAGCTCAGAGAGGAAGCATGCTGGAGTCAAATGTCAGACCAGCTTACGATGTAAGGACACGATTACGATAAAGTGATTGCGTGATAAATGAAACCCAGCTGTGCCCCTCCACTGATATTATGAGTGGGTGGAGTTGTGTTTATGCTAGATTTACAGATATACAAGCACTGACTTGCAGGCTGCACAATGCAGGAAGTGCCATGTAAATGCATGAAGCTCTTAACCGGATTTGGAGGGGGCGGGGGGTGCCTGGTGGCGGATGGGGTTGCAAGTCCAAAGATAGTTTGTTGCTCTTCATCAGATTTTCGTGTCAGGTGGAAATGGCGTCCAGCAAGCATCTCACATTTGATTTGGCTCAGTCATGGGCATCAGCAATACTCGAATAAAAGGGAAACTTAATCCCCAAATTTGCTTCACAAGAATATGTCTAAAATCTGCATTCTAATGAAAATGGTGTTTGTGGAGTATGAGTTAAGCAGTAAAATCCACCCGTTAGACCAGTGGAATGGAACAAATTACTGTAACAAAAATGTGCGTCTGACTTCCCCATTTAAGCAAGGAATCACTAATTTCATCATCACTACTAAGCTTCAGGTAAAAATAGGCTCAAGGTGACTACACTAAATAGGTGTTTTGTGAATGAATACTTAGCATCACAGATCTGAGGTCAGGGGTTGGACTCTGCGCTGCGGCCTTCCTGTGTGGTGTTTGAGCATTCTCCCCATGCTTGGATGGGTCTTCTTTTGGCATTTCGGCTTCCCCTCACTTTCCAGAAAGTTTTTCTTCAGTTAATTGAATGTTCTAAAATTGTGCTTTTGTGTGAATTTATTTTATTGTTTTTTCTGTTTTGGTTGATTTGATTTCAAACAGCATATATCTAAATGCAAACAGTCAAAAGCAAAAGGAACAAAAGGAACTAATAGTTGAATTTAAAATGGTTACGGCTGAAGCGTTGCTTCTAATCGCCGCACCTTATTATCATTCTCTTCAATTAAGTCGAATAATTACATGAATAATAGAAGGTATTTATACCCAAACATGCTCAATATACATTTGCCTTTACAATCATATGCCCAATTTCAGTCATATCCAAACACCCGAATTTAAAAGCATCAGTTTCAGCTCAATTTTGTATATTCTATCCTAGACAACCAAGACTTATAACGATCCATACTTTTCAAATATTTTTTTTTTGGAGGATTTTCTTTTCAAATGGTCAACACTTGTACTTTGTTTCATGTCTGCTAATAAATGATCTCATAATTTCACTCCATAAACTGATATGCACCTGCTGTTCAACGTAGTACAAAATCTTAGTTGTTCAAAATTTCCTTTCAGCCTTAAATTATATTTGCTCTGTCTAGTTTCAAACATATTTTGAATATTTCTTGGAAACAAGTCATGCCTCGTTGAATACATCATGTTCAGCTGTTCTATATTGCGCCCGATGTTTAAACTTCATTGTCCCAGATTTAAAAAACAATGCATCGGTGTGTTCATAATAGCCCACATTATGCACTATTCCTATGGCTCTTTTTTTGCACGGTGCACATCATTTGAAGGGTACTTTTATATGTATTTCCTCAAACTTCAACACAGTAAGTCAAATATGGAAGTACAGGATCGCAATATAACGTATCGAGTGATTTGTAACTTGACGTGGTTGACTCCTCCTAAAATTCCCACTGTGCATGAATTTTTGGCCCTTACATACTGAATGTGACATTTCCAGCTCTTGTTTTGCTCAGTAATAAATCCCCAAAATGTCTGCTGATGAACTCAGCGAGTTCATCAGCAGACATCAAATGCTAAGATGAGTTCTAAAATGCTAAGATGAGCAAAAAAATGCCCACCCTCTCAGCAAGCCCACACATTTTTTCTGTTTGCATGTGCATTGTCTGCTTGGAGTTTTTTTTTTTCAAGTGTGGGAACAATGTACAGTGGTTCTAACATCATATTATCTACTTGACACACTGAAAAAAATGGTGTGTTGAATTTGCTTAATTTTACTTCGTCAAGTGGTTGCCCAAAATAAAATGATCTGGATCAAGATATATATATATTTAAGTAGACAATACATCTTCTTAAAAATATATATCTAATCCAAATGTTTTAATGTGTGTCCATGCACTTGAAGTAATAAATTGAGTACATTCAACACACCATTTTTACTGTGAACAACGAACATGCACTTCAATTGAAAAGCTCAATTTTTTTAGAGGGTGAAACGGTGACATCACTAAGGCACCGGTAGCCTATTGATGCTTATAGCATGCGAACACTCACCTAACGACACAATGCTTCCGCATTGTATGAAGGCTGTGCTGCTTGCGTGACCCCCGGCAGTGAGGCCCTCAACAATGAGCAGCCAGAGTCTCGCCGGCCAGCCGGGTGGGGCCACTCAATGGCAGGAAGCATCGCCATCAATATTTACTCTGCAAGCAGGGCAGCTGAGCCTGGAGCCTGACTAGCACAGCGCCACACGCAGTCTCAGCCCACTTATACAAACACTCTGGAGTGCTGTTACAGCCTCCTTCCCCCACCAAGTCCTGTTTTCTCCCCATCTCGAGCAATTAGAACACAGGCAGACAGGCTGGGCCCACTGACTGTTGTTTTGGACCTCGGTGTTTCCTCTGTGGCTTTGGACACCACTTTAGTTTTCATTTACAGGGCAACTGAAATGTCAAGCAAATCGCATTTGTGCCTATCTTTGACTATATCAGTTGTGTGCATTGACTCTCTGTCTGGTCCACAGAATGGAAGGCTTCACAGTGGTACTAGTTGAACTGCTGCTGTTGACGTCTGCTCACTTCGCAGGTGGGTGAAGGATGAAGCTGTGCATTGCAGCGCACTTACGCAATGTGGTTCTTCCGTGAGTGTATGTAACCAAAATTTTGGTTTGGAGATGAGGCCTGTCGTTTACACACATGCTGATCTGGTTACATTTCAAACTATTAGGTTAATCAGCAACAAGTTTGGTTTGATCTCAAATAGTCTTAAAAATCCCCTATACTTGACTACAGCACTTAAAATCTCTGATTAAAAAAAAAAAAAATCCACGACATAATGTCCCTGGTTCTTTTGTGTGATGTAAAGCAATGCACACAGTGAACGGCAGCGTGAAAATGACATTCCGCAGGGATAAAAAAATCATGTCATCATCAAATCAATTCTGTGATTGGCTCGACAAGTATCCACGATCTGTACAGTTGTAGATACTGTCAAATAGTCATTTAAGTTCTTTGGCTAATGATTTTTACTGATTACTCGATACATATCTTCCATCCATTTGTCAGTCCATTTGAGCCTCCATGAACCTGTCAGTCACGCGAAGGACACATAGAGACATACAGCACATGTTTTTGTCAAAGAAAGGCGAGCAAAGGGAAAACACAAGCACTCCACACACAGAAAGAAACGAACCGATAAAAATTAGAGTCCACAACTCTTTTAGCTCTGCATTTTGTGCTGTGTGAAACTGCTCCTCTGCCTCCTGGTGGGCAGAAAATGCAAATCAATTCATACAAAAGGGGTGAATGCGTGTTGTTTCATGGTAATCTAAAAGTACTGTATATCTGAATGTGAAATAATAACAATTCTCCAGAAGTTGGTAATGGATGCATACGGCCCTGACAAACATCTTCATCATTTGCAGATTCCGAGAATGACGGGAAGCTGCTGTGCGCATGCGAGAATGACAAAGACACATGTGTGAATTACACATGCAGAGGCGACGTCTGCTTCTACACGTGGTTGAACGGTCGTGAGGAGAGGGGTTGCTTCTCCAACAAGAACTACATGGAGCAGTGCTACAGTCGCTTACCCCGCTTCCACGTCAACTGCTGCAGAGAGAATCGATGCAATGCCTTTGCAACGCCGCCTCCAAACATCAGTTAGTGCCCACATTACACTACACTACATATGAAAATACACACTTTGAAACCTTGACGTCAGCGTGCTCTTATGTTCACACAACCACCTTTGAACAAAATACATAATACATAATATAAATGAGCAGCAAGTAACAACCTCTGGTGCTCCAAAATCGTTTTGTTCAACCCTTCTTATTATACCTTAAAGTTGACATTTCATCAGCTTCAGTTGACCGACAATGAAAAAGGAGCAGTGGTTCTAGATCAATTTCACTGAGGGGGCCTGGCTAGGGCCAGGGGTTTTGATAGAGGGGCACATTCAACCCAGGGCAAAAAAAGACAAAGATTCAAAATCTTATTTGACTTTTTATTTTCATCAAACCTTTAAACCTTTGCAGCCATAACATTACAGTAACAATGAAAAACAGTATAATAATCACAGTAGTACTGAATTAAGTGCTGAAAAAAGATTCATATAGGTGCCGATCTTGTGGAAGAGTCTTAAGCTGCCCCTACTATTACAGCAACTGTATTCTGCGATTTTGGTGATTTCTGGCAAACGGTCTGAAGTGATTCCAGATTCAGTGCTTTTGACCTCCTAGATTCAATGCAAAGTACACCAAGATTACTTAATCTATCATCATTCATAGTGGACATGAGGTATGTTTTCCCAAGATTTAACGTGGAAAAACTCCGTTCTGCATTGGCGGGTCTTCTTTACATTTGCTGATGTCTGTAGAGAAAGACAAACCGAATAGATGTAAACATAATTTTTGCATGCATACAGCATATACACTAACCTGCTACACTTACACTGTTTCGGCACTCACACACACATAATTGTCTAAAACGTATTCATGAATGCTATTTATTAATTGCATTAATTCATTTATTTTTTCATTTATTGTATTCAGTAATATAAATGAATACATTCTAAAGCCTGACCAGGGACTAAAATTGCAAACACACTGAAGCTAGATGTTTTGCGTGCATCTAATTGTCCCATTTTTAAAAGGCAGTGTCTTATAGATTGTTCCTGTTCAATAAACATTAAAAAATAAAAAGGGATATTAAAAAAGTTACACACACACACACACACACACACGCACGCAGACAGTATCAGTTTCCTCATTCTCAGGACCTTCATCTGTCTCTTCATTTTTAACTTTAAATTTTTAACAGTGAAGAGGAATTAGAATTACACTTACACGCACGCAGACAGTATCAGTTTCCTCATTCTCAGGACCTTCATCTGTCTCTTCATTTTTAACTTTAAATTTTTAACAGTGAAGAGGAATTAGAATTACACTTCAGAAACCTTACTGTTGCGGGCTTGCTTGGTTTTGTGTTGTAGTCTTACCTTGACAATATAATATCACTCATCGCCGTGGTAATCTTGGGACTGCTTCTCCTCTTTGCGCTCGTCTTTTTTCAGTGGTGCAGCGCACTAAAAGGTCCGACTAGAATGTTAAGCCAGGCACTTTAGTATCACCTTTGGCCTCGGTGACTGGGCGCTATTGTATAGCCCACGTTCGGAGGGGAGGGGAGGGGAGGGGCCACAGGGGGGTCCAGAATCAGTGCTACAGGGGCACTGGCCCTTGTTGGCCCCTCCCCAGAACCGCCACTCAAAAGGAGCACAAAGTGACAACGGCATCCATGTCATGAAACCGTGCACGCAGATGGCGAGACGACCACAATACCGCCGCAGCAGCCCCGTCCGGAGCTGTGGATCACCGTGGCTCTTCTGCTCCTTTTCACGGCTGCCAGTTTGTGTGGCCTGCTGATCTTCCTGCGCTTCCGGCGCGTGCACTTCCGCCTCAAAAACGCAGATGACCATGACTCCACCATGCTCAAGATCTCGAACGGAGAAGACCCTACTTATGGTGTAAGGGATTTGATCTCGAATGTGGTTCAGCATTAAGCAGCGTTCCAGAGTTTCAAGACAGACTGTGTGTTTTTTTTCCAGGGTATATATGATGAGTTCTGCACATCAGGGAGTGGGACTGGCCTTCCCTATCTGGTTCAAAGGACTATGGCCAGGCAGATTTCACTTGTGGAATGTGTTGGTCAGTCGGAATTATCATCACTGCTGCTGGTGCTTTCCGCCATTTTTGTACTTAAAAAATCTCTCATTATTGACATCCCAGGTAAAGGCAGGTATGGAGAAGTCTGGCGGGGAACTTGGATGGGGGAGAGTGTAGCAGTCAAGATCTTCTCCTCCAGAGACGAGCAGTCCTGGTTCAGAGAGACCGAGATCTACAATACTGTGCAGCTGAGGCACGACAACATACTAGGTGCTGCGCTCGATTTTATACCAGCAGATGTGAAGCATCAGTCAAAAGGCCAACTCTAAAAACAGGTGTGTTCTCTTCTCACTTCAGGTTTCATAGCCTCTGATATGACTTCCAAGAATTCCAGCACCCAGCTGTGGCTCGTCACTCACTTCCACGAGTTGGGTTCACTCTACGACTTCCTGCAGTACAGCAGCTTTGAGCCCGAGAGCTGCCTGAAGATGTGCCTGTCCGTGGCCTGTGGCCTGGTCCACCTCCACACCGAGATCGTCAGCTCCCAGGGCAAACCAGCCATCGCCCACCGAGATTTGAAGAGCAGAAACATCCTGGTGAAGAGGAACGGGCAGTGCTGCATCGCCGACCTGGGTGAGAATCCAGCAGAAGCATCACAGCTCCTCACAGCAGTTTATCAGCATGACTTATAAAGGATGACGCCCTGCTTTACTCCGCTGCCAGGTCTGGCCGTGATCCACTCGCAGTCCAATGACTACTTGGATGTGGGCCACAACCCTCGTGTCGGGACTAAACGCTACATGGCACCTGAGGTGCTCGATGAGAGCATACGAATTGATGTCTTTGAGTCCTACAAGCAAACGGACATCTGGGCCCTGGGCTTGGTCTTCTGGGAAATTTCACGCAGAACAATCGTCAACGGTAACTACGCTGTAATGGCATTAGTCGAACGGTTCGACAGTCAAATCATTCAAAATTCAACCAAAGATTGAGAATGATGTAGTACTCAATTATGGTGATATAAAGGAAAACAGTTTTACATCATTCAAATTTTTTGTATTGTTTTCTCGGACGCGGCTAAAACGGCACCGGGTGACGCACTTTGGCGTCCACCATGAGTCACCCCTAGCCCATATACAGTAACTTGTGCGCTTTTGTTTTCATCTGCGGTGGGTTGTTCTTCCCCCTGAAAATCCATCTCCCCTTCTGACGGTCCACTTCAGTGCACCTCGTTGTCGGCTATGAGTGTGCACGTGTCACGGAGAGAATGAAGAAAGTCAAACATGACTGCCACCATGTGGACAGGGGCTTTGCGGTGGCGTGGCCGCTTTAGAGCGCCCTGTTGTCGAAGCATGGAACAGCACCACGACAACCCGGTGGGATATTTTCCCGCCACCAGAGGCTTTCAGCGGATATATTTTTGCAACGCAAACATGTGGTTATGTATGGGCATAAGAAAGATGCCAGGTGAAGTAGCATCCATTTTTCCAGGTCATAGTAGCGGTATTTGATTGAAAATTGACAGTTGAGCGGGCCTGGATTCAACGCATTCACTTCATTGCTTGAAAGAGAACGGATGGATTTTTCACATTGATATGTTGGTTTATACCTGTAGCAAATTTTAAAATCAATCCAATTAGGCAGGGATGTCAACAACACTTTCTTCCATTGTATGTCCAATTTCTAAGACATGTTGGGTTTTTTGTCACAATGCAGGGACTTTGAGTGTCAGTGTCTGAATTGAATTGTTCCAGAAAAACAACAAGAGACTCAATGTACAAATTCAGTCCCGCGTTGGTGATCCACTAAAAATATTTGGCAAACTACTGCCGGCGTCGCAGCTACCAGTCGGACAAGATGCTTGAGGATTAAGTCTCTGTCCTGATTGCTCAATGGCCAAGTTGACATGCAGTAACCCTCTCTCACGATATTACAATCCTCCTTTTTGCACATTTGTCAACACATTGTCATGAATTACGATTTTGACCTTTTACTTGAATCAGCAGTTAAACTCTTTTTTTCCCCCCCCCATTATCATTTCTAATATCAAAAAATGACTTGAGTATCGCTTGTACAGTATGAGTGAGTGGGAACAATTTATTCTGGAGACAAAACAATCTGTATTCAAATGGTGTCCTGTGTCTGACTTTCTGTAAAGAATGAAAACAAGACACGGTCTGCTGTGTGTGTTGTGTTTTGTCAGACATGTCTGGCTGCTTGATTGTACTGTACATCAGAGGCAGTTCGTCGCATGTCTCTCAGCACTCAGCTGTTTCCCTTGTCTGTGTCAGTCTCGACTATCCTCTCCCATGATTAGCTCTACAGTAATTATAAACAGTCTTATCTGGTGTCAGCACTCGCTTGGACATACACCAGCCGCCAGAGTGCCAGCATGCAGATGGATACATGCACATAGTTACACGCATGCACACACACACACACACACACACACACACACACACACACACACACACACACACTGGAAGATTCCGAGATACATCCATACCCTTATGTGTGTGTCGTTTTCTAATCCCAGCATAGTCTCTCGGGAGTTTCTATCTTTTCCTGTGTTCTTGTGTAATCAAATGTTCTCCCACCATGATGCTATTCCAGAGAAATCCATGTTTTCCAAATGCATGCAGAGATTAAAAAAAGATGGATATAGGAGGTTCACACGTTGTCTTCTCATACGGCCGATAATGAGTCTTGACGCATTCCACTTGGCCCGTTTTCCCACTCAGCCCCAAGGAATGTGTTGCAATATTTCTCGGGGGAGAAGTTGTGCAGTTGAAAACATTCTTTTTTTTTTCAGGGATTGTGGAGGAGTACCGCCCTCCTTTCTTTGACCTGGTGCCATCCGATCCCAGCTTTGAAGAGATGAAGAAAGTGGTCTGTGTGGACCAGCAGAGGCCCATCTTGCACAACCGGCTGCACTCTCACCCAGTAGGCCATGAAAACGCATTACACATCGCCTCTAAAATTGCCTTCTTCGCTTACATTGTTTTAGCACAGCGACAGATTGAAGTACTTCATATACGCTCTTTGTATGGACGGATACTTGTCAGACAGCAGCAGTTCCCTTTCACAGAGAAGCTCTCCTGCCACAAGCCCATTTCACACTAGCTATTAATGCCAAGAATGTTCAGCTTTTGTCATATGTTGATTTTGTGTGTGACCAATACGTTTGATGACGTCTGAGGTCGCATAAAAGATGCAGGACAACGACTGTGTAAGGGGAAATACATAGCGCCAAGCCGAGGTGGAAAGTTTAACCCCCTCACACTCATTCCGTCCCCTTCTGTTGAAGGTACAGTGTTGCCATGAGATATGAATTTAATTCATTCGCTTCTGTCTACATACCTTGCTGCATCATTTGCGTTTAAATATCGGTTTGTTAAAGTTTAACATTGCCACATAGGTGTTGTTTGTTAGTCTGTCTATTTATTATGTTCCCAATTAAGCGTGAGCTGAGTTTAAAGCAAAGTTATGTGGCTGTTTTAAATACACGTCATTTTGTTAGTTTTATGTGTAGTTTGACTGAAAACTCTAACTACGAGTGGCATTCACCAATTAAAAACCTCTGAAGATTTCTTCGTTATGCCAAACTGCTGCTTTTTGAAAAGTTAGCTGAGTTGAGTTCACACAGCACTCCTATCTCTGATTTTTTATCATAAGCCCAAAACCGGCAGAATGATGGCGTGGATCTCGAAAAGTCCTAAGTTGGGTCACTCATATCTCATGGTACGAATGTAGTTGCAGCTGAAAACAAAGACGCAGGCAATAAATGCCGACTCTACTATTACATTTCTAATGCACCAATTGTATTCCGTGTCAGTGCTGTTCACACCTTGGAAAAGGGAAGAGAACATTCCCAGATTTTCCAGGCCAAGTGTAATGGACAATATGCAAACAGAAAGACAGACTGCCTTAATCAAGCTCACGGTAATGGTCATCATCCATACATTTGTATGTGTCTGTGTGTGTGTCCAGATAATGTCATCCATAGTGAAGATCATGAAGGAGTGTTGGTTCCAGAACGCACCGGCCCGTCTCACAGCACTGCGTGTGAAGAAGACCCTCTCCAAACTGGACCACGACAGTGACTTCAGTGTCAAGAAACTCAAGCAGGACGTCTAGAACGTACTCAGCAAGATGCAGACTGAGGAAGCTTGAGGGACTTTTGTGCCCCATTCCCGCGAGCATGGTGGTGAATATCATCTGCATAATTTCAGTTAATGACTCACACACTTACTGCATTTTATTAAAACAATATCATTTTCGGCAGTGGTGTCTAGACTCTTTTGCACCGAAGGCAATTTGTCTTCCCCCTGATCAAAATTCCGGAAAATCCTAAGAACAGACACAGAGAAAGACTTTTGCGATAAATAAGAGTTACTATGCCTATGACAGCACAATGCTCGTTCTATAAAAAGCACTTTTAACTTTTTAGCTGCACAGACACATTGAGTATGTAGTTGTGGATGTACTGTATCGAGAACACAATTTGTTATAAAATATTGGTGTACATTGTTTCCCTCCCCCCAAGATACCATTTACATCTCTTTCACTATGTATTTTGAAATAAACTGTCTTTTTCAACTATTTGAGCTCTTGATTTCAAAGCTTTAATGTAACGTGATTCTCCTATTAACCACAAGAGGTCACCAAACTATAATGGTGACAAAAGAGATTTCAAGTTGCAGATTGGCGCGAGGCTCTTCGCGATACAACCGACGACAACCATTGGAGAGACATATCACGTCAATACTTATATTTTCACCTATACATGTTACATTTCAAAACCAATGTGAAAGTCACATATAAAAAGCTAATGGAATTAAAATGCTACACAATTAAACTGGGGGGTTGAATTTTAGATTCTGTTTAAAAAACATCAGTATCCCCTAAAGAATCAATGAAATATAGTTTCAAGCAAGTCATGTATCTGTTTGTGTGTTTGTTTTTACACACGTGAATACTCTCAAATGTTTAGCATTTTGTTTTGTCATTAGAGATTTCCTTATTTCCTCTCTCTTCCATTTGAACCAACCAGTTTGAAGAGCAAACATGGCCACATTGAAGCACAAAGCAGTTAATTAACGTGACGCAAATCGGAAGGGTAATAAAGAGCCAGCTGAAATTAAACTGCAACAAAATGTACCCTCTGGTTAGCACAAACAGTTTTCATGGCGTTGTCTGCATATTTATGAGTGTGCGTGTGTAGCTTTTGAACTGGGTTCAGAGAGACAATAGTCCCTCAAATCCCCAGGCTGTCTGGTCAGTCAGATGAAGAGCTGGTTATTTTTAACACTACGGGTGGGTTGTTGGAGTATCGGGCCTGATTAGCCGCCTGTGAGTTCAATACTTTCTCCCTTTCACTGTCATGTGTATTGCTTTTCCTGCAGAAGTGCAAAGAGATTTGTTGATGTCAAGCCATACGGGACAGTGACAGAAAATCTCAAGACGAGACAACTCGGACACACTTATGCTTGACCACACACTCACTCGTGATAGAAAACATCTCAATTGCAAATGTTTTGTCTCACCTGAGCTATACTGTATTTATGTATTAGTGTACCCAATGGCCACACCAGCAGCCAACTCACTTTGTTATTTTCAGCTTTGATGCTGCAAGCAGATGCAACATTTTTTTTATGCGTCCAAATTGGTCCTCTGGGGATTGGATCAGGGGACTGCTGATGGAAGCCAGATTACACGTCTGGTTTAGTGGTCCAAAGCTGCAGAATTGATGATCAGTCACAGAGGTTGAATGAACATAAACTGACATTTTAAGACCTGAGGCAAGGAGGCCCCATCAGAGGCCTCAGCAGTCAGGCTCTCAAGGTGCTGCCTTCAAACGATCCTTGAGCTATGAGTTTAATTCAGCCCGTGACCACTTGTAACTTAAAACACTCATATCTCAAATCAACCATCCGCTTTGAAATGAACGGAATTATTGTTTATCTGTTCCAGCCTCAGCCCAAAAACAACAACAAAAAATGTCATGTTTTTTTTTAACAAGGAAAATAGCACTTGATACTATTCTGCTCTATTACAACATATACTAATCACATGAATAAAATAGAGAATCAGGAAATAAACAGTTTGATACATTCATTTCAGCTTCTGCTGGTGTGAGTGACTTGGCTATACCGAGCGCCAGTAGAATACAGTCATGCAGACGAATTAAGGAAAGTTTCATTCAACCAGTGCCCGTGACTCAGCAATCAGCTGTAATTGTAGTCCTTTTTTGCAAAGGATATCCCTGTGAGCATTGTTATGGTCCCTGTCTACATGCCTTGCTGCATCATTTGTGTTTTAATATCAGTTTGTTAAAGTTTAACAAGCAGATGCAATCTTTTTTTTTTTTTTTTTTTTTTTTTAATGCACCCCTATTAGTCCTCCGGTAATTGGATCAGGGGACGGCTGATGGAAGACAGATTACACATTTGGTGTAGTGGTCCAAAGCTTCAGAATTGATGATCAGTCACAGAGGTTGAATGAACATAAACTGACGTCTTAAAACCTAAAGCAAGGAGGCCGCATCAGAGGCCTCAGCCAGTTAGGGTCTCCCGGTGCTGCCTTCAAACAATCCTATTGATCCATCCATATTCTAATCTGCTTATCCCCACAAGGGTCGCGGGTGTGCTGGAGCCGATCCCAGCTGTCTTCGGGCAGTGGCAGGGTACAGCCTGAACTGGTTTCAAGCCAATTGCAAGGCACACATAGACGAACAACCATTCATGCTGACAATCACACAAGGACAATTTAGAGCAAGGGTGCCCATTACGTCGATCGCGATCGACCAGTAGATCGCGATCGACCAGTAGATCGCGGACTGGTCCCAAGTCAATCCGAGGAGTTTAGAGGGGGAAAAAAAAAAAAACATTTGTGTCTCTGTGCATGTTAGTAATATATTTTTTTGTGTTAATGCACATTGCACCCAAATCATTCTATCAGTCTCACTTTCACAAAAAGTATTTAAAAAAGAAAATAAAATAAAGCAGGTCATCTTTAACCTACGGTGACGTGTGCCTGCATCACCAGAAGTTGTTAGCGCTCAGCAGTCTGCAATTGCAGCTTGTGATCAGAATTGCTGCGCTATATCTTTTATCGTTATCATTATTCTCATTCAGAGTTTGTTTTGTACAATTCACCGAGGGGGCGGGCAAAGAATGGGAATCTGGAGGGCCAAGAGACACATTTTAAAACGGTACGCGTGAGCTACGATCGTTAACAGGCTGCCGAAGTGCGTCGCATGCCTCAGCGTCAGGCTATTGCTCATCATGGCATGCGTGAGTACGTGCATGTGTGCGTATGCGCGCGTGCGCGGTAACCAGTCAATCGCGGAAGGTTGGTTGATCGAAACGTAGATCTTCGGTCAAAAAAGTTTGGGCACCCCTGATTTAGAGCGTTCCATGAGCCTGCCATGAATGTTTTTGGAATGTGGGAGGAAACAGGAGTACCGGGAGAAAAACCCATGCAGGTACGGGTAGAACATGCAAACTCCACACAGGAAGGCCAGAGCCAGAATCGAACCCTGCACCTCTGCACTGTGAGGCTGATGTGTTAACCACTCGATCACCATGCCATTATTCATTTTTAAAACTCTGTTACGCTAAAACGCATATTTGCTACAGTCTTTTTTTTTTTCAATCTTCTCCTGTTTGCCATTGTTTTTTTTTAATTACTATAAATGACCCAATTAAAGAATAACGAAAAGACTGTATATTTCAAGCAACTATAAATGCTGTTGAACAATTAGAGGCAAAAACATATACATTTATTTTGTTTTTCAAATCAAACATGCTCCTGGGGCTCAGTCAGGGAGAAAATTATGAACCACTGAATAATGTATGAAAGGAATGGATTTCTAAAGCAATACTATATGATATCTCAATAAGTGGGTTTACATTGCCCGGATTTGTTGCACTACTTGCTTTCTTTTTGTCAGTATATTACCTGAATTTATGATGTAAAGATGTTTTACTCTGCCAAAAACAAACACAAAAAATACCATAACTTCATTCAGTTCTTGAAGGATAAAGTAATATTTCCAAATATGAAACATTATCATTACGTCTTGGCATCCCATTTGATTATTAGGCTATTGGTGTTGAATCAAACAGCCAGACATGAGAAAATAATTCACAAATATGTTTTAGAAAACCAGTAAAAGGATGGCGGGGCTCCACAGATTTCTGACGATGCTATAGCTCTCCGAGCCACGGTGCGGCGCCATACCGGATAGGGTGACAGGTGAGCTGTAATCTATCTCAGCGGATTTTGGTGTCCAAACTCGTTCCTCAAGTGCCGTTGTCCTTCCTGTTTTCAGTCGCTCCCTGCTGCATCACAACTCATTGAAATGATCAGTTTAACAACAAACTCCGAAGAAGCTTGATAACGACCCTGACCATTTGAATCTGGTGTGTTGCAGCAAAGAGAGATGGCAAACAGGCAGGCAGGACAGCTGCCCTTGAGGACCGGAGCTCGACATACCTGGTAGTCTACTTAGTGCATCCCGGAGTTGTTGCAGGGTACATACAGATAAAATCACATTCACCCCTTTGGGCAGTTTCTACCGTTTTCAAACAAAACGCATGTACTGTAAGCAAATGCAAGGGTGAGAACATGCAACAACTCCTCATAGGAAAGCTGGAAGCAAGATTTAAACACCCAATTTTAGAACTGTGACCTGCTAACGACTATTCCACCATGCTGGCGTATTTAAAATCAGGAATTTGTGACATCGATATTTTCTCAATGGAAAATTTGTTTGTGGTCCTGGAATTCCTGCATAAATATTCCCAGGAAAATGATCGCACCTTTATCTATATCGACACAAGCTTTATTTCGAGAGTTCCTTCCCGGCCATTGCCCTCCCCCTCGCCATCCTCGAAGGGAAAATGAGTTCAGCAGCTTTTATGCAATCCCAAACTCATACACATGAACGTAGCTACAAATGCATGAACGCAAGCTCTTCTTGTTTGTTTTGAAATAAAAACAGTCAAACTTAAAATGAATAAACAGCGTCTTCGTTTCCAGCATGTTATGCGAGCAGGGGTCGTAAATGTGCCGCTGGTGACCTCCGGGGAGGACACACGGACCTCCCCTTTAAACTGGCACTGCCCCTTAACCACGTCACGCGCCTGGCTCAACTAGTGCCTGTGTGTGTGTGTGCGCGCGCGTGCGTTAGATGTTCGTGTGTGAGCGCGTGCGTGTGCGGAGTGTGTGGCGAGTGCGGTCTGACTGTGGCTCCATTGCGTTGTGTTGTGTTGCATTGTAGCCGGCCTGCTCTTCTCGTGTTTCGCTTGCGAACGATGGCAGTGTGCAAGAAATGGCTGTGAAGCACACTGGCCGAGCTTTGCTCGCCCTGCTCGGGCTGCTGGCTGTCGGGAACGGTAAGTTTGAGCCGAACTCACCCACATTTTCGCCTTTTGTCTCGCTTGCATTGTGTGTTCGTTCGGTCCTCGCCGTGGCCCCGCCGCTGCGCACTGGAGGGGATTTGGCTAACCACCGCGAGCTATCGCTGACCTATGAAATGAAGTAAAAATACATTTAAAAGGTTGCTGTCCACAATGACTGAAAATATTTTTCTAGTTTGCCGACACCTTCCCGAGTACTTTAAGTGGAGCGAGCAGCTAAAGCACAACAACATGGTGCTGCTGCATGTTTACGCCGGAGCGTCTGCTAGTCAACAAGAGAACAGTCTATTTATTTATCCATGAACGTGTGACGTAGGAAGTGGACGGAACAAGCTGTTGTTTAGCTCCCATTTGTGGCTCATGTATGAAACAGTCTCACAGTTTGTGTGTGTTGGGCTTGCTAACGACACGGCTCCCTGGTTGAACGTGCTTTTAAAGGGCTCTCAGAATGAAGGCCTAACCTACTTAAGTGCCTGAAATGTGTTGTTTGGGAGTAAACACTGGCAGCTATTGCATTAGTGTCTATTTGTAAAGGAGTGAAAAGGGTGCTCTCCCGCTGGGAGAAAGCTGGCATAGGCTGACGACCGCCGTGTATTCACGAACCCCAGACAGGAGTCACAGTTCAAGTCTGGCTGTATTGTGATGGAAATGTGGCAAGTGGGGGTCTTTAGGGGCGCTTCTCCGGTTTGGTCTGGTCTGGCCGTCTGCTGCCGTTGCTGCTTCCAGATGATAACAGCGGCCCCTCGTGAACAAGCGGAGATTGTTCAAGGGATCACATTCTTTGTTTACTTAAGTAGTGTGCATTAAGAAGAGAAGCCTGTAGCCTGGTAAAAATACTGTAGCAAAGTATTGATTAATCTCCTTCACTCAAATAAAAATGGACAAGTACAAACTGGACAACAGGGCTCTACACATTCACTCACACATATGAATGGTGAAAATTATAGTTTGGTTAGTGGAAATCTTCGGCATTGGTCGAGATGACTGCATCAAAACCGACATTGATGTGCAAAGGATATCACCCCATGGGCTCAAGAACATTTCAGTAAAACAATGTCAGTAAATACAGTTGGGCGCTACATCCTGAAGTGCAACTTCAAACTCTACTATGCAAAGCAAAAGCTATTTATCAGCAGCAGGCAGAAACGCCGATGGACTGATACAAAGTGGAAAAATGTTCTGTGGTCTGTCGAGTCCACATTTCAAATTGGTTTTGGACAATGTGGACGTCGTGTCCTTCGGGCTAAAGAGGAAAAAAACCCTCTGGAGTGTTATGGACGCAAAGCGAAAAGGCCGGCATCTGTACTCGTATGGGGCTTGCGCTTCCGTGAAGGCACCATCAATGCTGAAATGTATATTCAGTGTAGGTTTTGGAGAAACATATGCTGCCATCCAAGCAACATTTTTTTTTTCATGGACGCCGCTGCTTATTTCAGCAAGACAATGTCAAACAACATTCTGCACGTGTTTGTAGTACACGGGTGCGGGTACAAAGCTGGCATGCCAGCAGTCCAGACCTGTCTCCCATTGAAAATCTCATTATGAAGCGTAAAATACAACAGCGGCGACTCCGTACTGTTTGAACAGCTGAAGCTGTACATCAAGCAAGAATGGGAAAGAATTCCATCCAGAAAGCTTCAACAATTGGTCAGTTCACAACGCTTCGTGAATGTTGATAAAAGAAAAGGTGATGTAATAGTGGTAAACATGACCTTTTCCTAGCTTTCTTGGAACGTAATGCAGCCGTAAAATTCTAAGTTAATGATTATTTGTGAAAAACAAACTTAATTAGTTTGAACATTAATTGTCTTGTCTTTGTTGTGAATTCACTTACATATAGTTTGAACATCATTGCATTCTGCTTTTATTCAACGCAAGGCCCCAACTTCACTGGACGAACAAAGCATTTGAAATCTCTGATTGAATCTCAATTCATTAAAAAAACATTTAAAGAGACAAGACTAATGAGATTTTGCACTCAACACTAATCTTTCTTGCTGACAACGTTGGAAAAAATTCTCCTTAAATGAAACAATAGATGGAGAAATAGCTTGCTTTTCTGGCTCATTTGAGGCATCATTTATGCCAGAGACAACAGCTTGCCCTCTGAATCTTTTTTGTCTCGTCATCATCGACAAAGCTGGACAAAATTAATCAGCCTATTCTGACAATTGTAAGGAGTAGAAAGTAGAGAGCTGTTTCTGAAAGTAGGGAGTAGGAGACATCTGAAAAATAAAGACCTGAAAAATCCAAAGCATAGTCGATTCCAACTACTGCAAACAAGCCAGAATAGATTCAAAGTTTTCACAACATGTTGGTTGTGCAATGCCATGCTTAGTTTAATCTGTACAAGCTGTCTTCCCTTGTTGCAACTTGCCACTAAACTGATCAAGGTAGTGTTTAAACCCCATGCGCTGGTGTTTTTAGCTTCAGTGTCATCTTCTTCACTTTGAAACCAAATCCTCTTGTCTTTTGTATTGTCTTTTCTCATGTCCCCTTTTATGCTTTTATTCACATTTTTAAGATGGTCCTATCATGAAATGAGCAGATTGGGAATCTTGAATTTTGTTGAAATATGCTTTAGTGGGAGGAGCATTGCAGTCCACAGTTCATTTTTAGTGCCTGTTGTACATTCTAAATATAAAGTTCAACATGATCCGCATCAGAACATTACCAATATGGATTACAAAAGCAAAAGTGGAGCTGCAAGCAGCTATAAAGGTCCCTCGCAGCACTGGCCACATTGGAATACTGGCACATTGGATTTGGATTTTATGTTTGTATGGATGTATTTATTTATTTAATGAGGTAGATCAGATTAGAAGCTAATTTATCAAGTATGACCGCTACACAAGGCCAAAAATGAGGCAAAATTTGAAAGAAAATTAAAACTGTCCGACTTCCTGTTGAGTTTAGAGTAGGGCTCCAGAGACTTTTTCTAGGTCTGGGGTCGTTGCATTCGGTATGCGTCCAAGCAGTCGGTGCTTAGACCCAAAGTAAAAAAAGTCACAAACTTGAACCGTTAAATAGTCCAAGATATGACTGTATGATTGTAATATTAACTCTTTGTCATCAAAATCTGAATCATGATATCCAGTCATAATTTTTTGGTCAAGTATGTAAAAACACATAAGGAATTTGTAGTTTGGGCCAGACTAGTATTACCATGACACGCAACTATAAGAAAATGAACATTTAGAACGTAACACGGAAGAGAGTCTCCATGTAATGTAAGGGTACCATTAGTGCTGTTGTCCCAAACAATGACAGCTAATGCAGCTTACGCAAATGATGCAAAGTCATCAAGCAAAAATAAAGTGGCTTGTCAGGGCTCTATGGAGCTCCCGATTAGGGTGTGCATCTATTATATTATAATATCTATTATGAAACCGTTCAGCTTCTCTACCACCAGGCTTAGCAAGTTTTATGAGGGAAACCTGAAGTACCGTAAGTATTCTCGAGTAAGGAATCATATTGTGCTGTCCAATCTTTCCTTATGACTGAATTTCCATATGTGGGATACAACTATGGTACATGTCCTTTATGAACATGCAAGTATGTGAACAAAATGCATGTGTAACAACACAAGCAATGAAATGCAAAAATATATGCTCCAAACACTGTTTATAAGACAAAAGCTGCAGTACAGTATACTGTACAGGTATATGAACAAAATACAGTGTAACAGATTTATGACTATTTGCTACAAAATGAGACTAGCAACAGACCTGGTGGCTTTTCTTTCCACTCACTCACTGCCTCTAACTCGACCTCCCCTCGATCGCCACCCAAGACAGCGTTGCTCAGCTGATGTCGTGCAACGAACTTTTGAAGCCAGCCACGGGACGCTTCGAAGTCCTCGATGCCCATACTTAGCGAGATGGAACTTGCCTTCTCTAATTAGCGCTCCAGTGAGCGGAAGGTTTTTAGCATGATAACAGGTAAAGCATTGCAGGAAACGTTCGTTTACTCTACTGTCCGTTGAGCCACAAGCAATTTACTCTGAGCAGCTAATCGGATGCATTCCACTCTCTCTTCCACAGATCTAGCTATCTACACACATAGATATTGAGGTCCCTCTTCGCCAATGGGAGGCCAGGATGATGATCGGTAGTAGCCAATGGCAGAGCAGCTATAAGTATGTTGCGTTCAGGAAACTTGGAGCTGTGAACGAAATAAAAAATCGTTCACTATTCCAGTAAAACTCATGCTAATAGAGTCACTTACATGTCGCCGTTGTGGATCCAATGAGAGTAAATAGCGGCAAGGACAGCGTTATTCCGTAGTATCGAGAGGGACTTGCTTGTGTTTGCGCCACTGCGGGCATCCTTATGGCTTCCGGGTTCCGGGTACTGGAACTTCCGTTGTTATGAATTGATCGTTAATGTAATATTGTAGTCGAAATTTTAATGCATAGGTTTTTATTCCGGGTGAGGGAATTTCCGTTTGAAAGACGAGGGGAATACTTACTGTAGTGCAAACCGGGCATGATTTGTGAGAAAAACAACCATTCACAATCACACCTAGGGACAATCTAGAGAGTTCAGTCAACCGACCATGCATGTTTTTGGAATGTAAGAGGAAACCGGAGTACCCGGAGAAAACCCGCGCAGGCACGGGGAGAACATGCAAACTCCACAGGTAGAAATCGAACCCTGCACTTCTGCGCTGTGAGGCGAACCAGTCGAGCACCGTGCCCCTCCTGGAACCTGTTTTTGATAGTGACCTAAAATTTGGAAACGGCTGATCGAAACAAGTTGACCAACGCACCACGGCCCCGCCCAAGGGGTCACTTCAACTTGCCTGCTCAGTTGGTGCACATTATGCAGGAATGATGTCATAGCCGTTGTGTGTTTATTCGACGTGGGCGCTCCAGCATCGACAGCGACGTGTGGGGGTGGATGTGTGGCCTACACATACAAAAGTGTGTGTGTGTGTGTGTGTGTGTTTGGGGGAAGGAGGGTGATGGGTGATTG